AACATCAAAAAGTTTAAGGTCATCCACGTTTTTAAGTCCTTAAGGCAGTCTTGCATTTTATTTAGATGATTAATTTCATCAGGCTTGATTGATAAATATAGTTGAGTATCATCCGCATAACAATGAAAATGTACAGAATGATTCCTTATAATATTGCCTAACGGAAGCATATATAATGTGAACAAAATAGGTCCGAGCACTGAGCCCTGTGGCACTCCATGGCTAACTTTGGTTTGCGTGGAAGATTCATCATTGACACGTACAAACTGAGAGCGTTCAGATAGATAGTGGTGACTTTTTGAACCGCAAACAAATTATAACATTATAAAATGCCTTTAAGGCAGCACACTGTTTGAAGCGCTGCACATTATATAAACTAACGTTACACACGGCAACGACATTAACTGCAAACAGTCGTGACTTGTATGAAGTGTAACATTAAACAATATATTAACATATTAAATACAACATGTATGACACCACTCGTTACACTCAGTAACCCTCTTTGTTCTAAGACATGTGATAGTCTATCCACTATCATCTTCTCCATCCATTTACACAAGTGTGATGTTAATGCTATGGGTCTGTAGTTACTGCCCATGATTAAGTACGTAAAATATGCGCACTTCGACCATGCTCTGCGTGGGTGTAAAATTACTACAATCTGCTTGTAGAGTAATGTTCTAAGTGTGGGTCAGACATTCGAGATGGCCGGGTTCGAGTCTCGGAGTGGAATTTTTTTCTCTCCAGCTTTTTTTATTATCTGTTTTGAATGACTTTTAATCTTTGTATTTAATGCGGGGCTGTGGCTCAGTGGATAGTGTACTGGACTTCGAATCAGGTGATAGCAAGTTTGAATCCCACTGCAGTCAACATGTAGTTGTGTCCCTGGGCAAGACACTTCACCCTCAAATTAAGGTGGTAGTCTGTCTTCTGCGTTTCACGGCAAAGAAATGGGAGGGTATCAGCCTCAGTATTAGTGTTGCTCCAGCTGAAAACTATATCCAACCATATCAAATTAATTGTACCACAAAATGGTTCTGAGACTTATTCAGAAATGTATACAAAGGTTCATCACAAACACTGCAGCATTTTCTGCTTCTATTTCATTGCATGCTTCAGAATAGTATTATATATTGATATAGTGCTTGTGAAGGAAGAGGGGACACACATATATATATATATATATATTAGGGCTGTCAATTTAACGCGTTAATAACGCGTTAACGCAATTTTTTTGTAATGCCACTAATTATTTTAACGCGATTAACGCATGTGTATTTTTTTTCCTCGGCCGCCCCGTAGTTTCAGAGCGCATCGATTTTAAAATACCATCTACAAGCTGATGCTGACAGCCCCGCTCCTGCTGCCCGCTTGTGGCAGACCACACTTCCACGCTCACCGGCAGGCACCGACTGGCCATTGGGAGGACCGGGAGGGTGTGTGTATGTGTGGCCTGAGCGAACGAGAGAGAGACCTTACGTGCATTGTTGTTGTTAGCATCTGGTGCTAGCTAGCTGCGCTAACGGATACAAGAAGCTGTTTAAATGAAAACATTTCGCCACAACTGCGCCGAGCACTTGACTTTATGCAGGAAGCCAGACAGTGGGACATTGTACGAGAAGTCAGCACACTCAGCACGGATAGTGCGCGCAACATGATTGCAGCGTCCAGGCAGCTCCCGTTCGAGCATATGCCTTGAGTTGCACATAGCTCCAACGATCCATCACACACACACACACACACACACACACACACACACACACACACACACACACACACACACACACACACACACACACACACACACACACACACACACACACACACACACACACACACACACACACACACACACACACACACACACACACACACACACACCATTTGTATTGTATTATTGTATGAGAGAGGTGCCAGGTTGTTGTGTTTAATATTCATGAGAATATTTGTCATTGTTCAAATGATAATAAACATTAGCATAAAGCATATTTGTCCACTCATATGTTGATAAGAGTATTAAAAACTTGAAAAATATTCCTCTAAGGTACATTTAGAACAGGACTATCCTACTGCGCGCACTAGTATGACTTCACTAGCGTTGTTTACACTGGAACTTTTGACAGGGGCACAAAGGCCACTTTGGCCGTGAATTGCATTTTTTTTCACAGGGCATAACGGCCAAAGTGCGGGGCGACGGCCATGGCCGTCGTGGCCGTCGTGAAATTCCCACCCTGAATTGCCCAGGTACTCACAAGAACATATCCTAGATGTCTGAGAACATCCAGAGATAACAGTAGAAACTTAATGTTAGCCTCTTCACCCCATTGGAGTCAAGAATTACTGTCAAGCTCACCAAGAAACAGCATCGCGTATGAAGACTGAATGAAAATGGATAGATACATGTTGAAAAGCATTGTAATTAGTAAAAGAAATAAGAGCATTTTTTAAACTTCATGCAGATATTAATAGTATTTCAAGCTGTGCATGTTCTCAGGCAGCAATGCAGAGCCATCACCACCAAGGACCAGAGGAGCAGTATCACTACAGCAGCCTCCATCTCCATCTGTGCCTGCCACAAGATTAAGATACACCTCGGTACAAAGGCCACCACCACAGCCATCACGATCAACCCAGCCAGCAAAGAAGTCTCGCCTAGCACACCTCCCTCCCGCCGACACAGCCACCAGCAGCCACCAGCAGCCACCAGCAGCCCATGCACCATCACCCCCACCTGCACAGCAGCCAGACCCACTGTCTTGGAAGAAAGACAAAGACCATGGCACTGCTCCCCCTGTCTTTACGTTTATAATGAATAGTTGGTTGAGAAAGTTCTGATATTGTCAGGGTTCGTACAGTCATTAAAAACCTGGAAAAGTCATGGAATGCAATATTTTTCCCAAAGTTTTGGAAAAGTCATGGAAATATAACTAAAGTTGCATCAAATATAATGTATATGTTATCTAATCGCTGAAATAGTAATACTATAATGATAATAAATACTGTATCGTATAATGAAACGTAAAATGGCAACTGTGGCAGTATTTAGCTGGTGAGAGATGTTTACAATCACGCCCTCTAGTCTACAGGAGCTACTATTTGATATAAAGATGCCAGGGAAGTGCAGTTTCAACAATGTATGGCTTCTAAAGAATAAGTACCAATTGTGGTTATCAAAAGACATTGACCCAAGACGTGCTAAATGCAAACTGTGTTGTAACATATTCAATATTTCGAATATGGGCGAGGCAGTGCATGCTAGCCACATGAAAGAGTCATTTAAAATCATTGGTTAAAAATTGTATGAACCCTGTATTGTAAATATTGAGATTTTACAGTTTCTTATGTTAACATAAATATTTGGTTGAAAAAAAAAGTTGTAATGCTCAATCTGTATTTGTACACATCACATGAACCTCAGTATGGAATATGAATCAGTCCTGATGTAACTTTTCTGTGGTGAAAGTAGAGTGATAGAACTATTTTACTCCAAATTCTAATTTACACATTTTCGTTTTAGACATGAACAACACATTTATATTGGCCTATAGTGTAATTCACATATTTCACTACGTTTGTGAACCAAAAACGTTGGTAAACCACATCTGAAACACCCCAAAAAATGCATGACATGAGTACATCTGTGTTTTCACAAGAGTTTTTAAGTTTTCCAAAAATCTGATTTCCAAGCTAAGTATCTCATAAGACAGTGCTCTAAGTCTAAGGTGAGTGACATTGCATTTCTAGCAAGACCAGAGACTGAACATTTTTGATATGTTACACCATGCCATGTTATAAGAAGTACATTTAAAAGGTGATTTAAGGAGACATAAATACCCTTCACTTCAGTAAAATAAGGTAAGGCGATTTTATTTTAAAAGACAATGAAGGCAGGTTATATTGATTGATATATTTATTATATTGAAAGCCAAATTAATACATAGTCCCCTGAATCTGGAATAACGTACAATTTACAGCCTCACAATGTCAGGAACTTTTCATCTACAGATTGCTTTGGTCTGGTTTTGCTCTTCACTGATTGGTTACTGAGACTTTGAACTTAAACGGACCTCCCCGTTTATAAAACGGACCTCCCCGTTTATTCGCGCGTAGTTTCGCGCGAATAAACGGACCTCCCCGTTAATCTGCGCGAATGAACGCACGAATTGTGGCGCAAAGGGCGTTCCATAAACGCCGTCTGGACCCGGGGGGGTGAATTATGTCCAATAACGTGTCACCACAATATATATATATATATATATATTTATATGCACGTTTATATATATATATTTGTATTCCTCTGGATTTTAGGAAACGGAAACTGAAAGATTGACAATAAAGTTGATGATTCAAATGTCCTCCTTTTCCCCTTCCAGACATTTTTGACAAGTTGACTGCGACTAGCGACAGATTTTAAATCGTATCTGCGGATGTAAAGGAGAACCACATGAGGACCTTCACTGACCACGGTCCAGCTCGGGATCCTTCCGCATTTTTAGTACTTTTGGTTGGTTAGGGTTTTTTGTTTTCTGGTAACTTTTTATATTTTAGTAAGGACCCTGATTACTCTTCAAGTGACAGGTATTTAGACACTTTAAAGTCTATTAAACATGATCTATATTAGCAGTAATATGAGTGTCATAAAAACATGAATAGATCGTGTATAAATATGTTTATACTGTATATATATATTTATATGCACGTTTATATATATATATATATATATATATATATATATATTTGTATTCCTCTGACTGGATTGTAGGAAACGGAAAATGAAAGATTGACAATAAAGTAGATGTGATGGTTTACAGACTGCTTGGAAACCCAGATAAAAGCTTTGAGATTTCATAGTTTATAGAATATAATCACAAATAAGGAACATACACTTATCCTCTCTTCAACACTATATAATAGAGGCACAGGTTCGATGAAGGAAAGCTCTCTGGACAGAAGTGTGTGGCTCTTAAAAGAGCCTTTGGTGTTTATTGAAGCGGGGTCAGGGTCTTCACTTCTTGGCGGCCTTCTCGGTCTTCTTGGGCAGCAGCACAGCCTGGATGTTGGGCAGCACGCCTCCCTGAGCGATGGTCACTCCTCCCAGCAGCTTGTTCAGCTCCTCGTCGTTGCGGACGGCGAGCTGCAGGTGGCGGGGGATGATCCGGGTCTTCTTGTTGTCCTGGGTGGCGTTTCCAGCCAGCTCCAGGATCTCAGCGGTCAGGTACACCAGGGCTCCGGCACCGACACGGTGGGCGTAGTTACCCTTCCTCAGATGCCTGTGGACACGGCCGACGGGGAACTGGAGCCCGGCCCAGGAGGAACGGGTCTTAGCCTTGGCTCGGGCCTTTCCTCCGGTCTTTTTCTGGCACAATTTTATTTTACAGATTCTGATTTTTATAAAAAATAAAATCAACTCGTGAATTATTTCGTATTTCAACAAAAAATAAACTACCAAGCAGCATAACCAATACTGCTATTAAAAATAGCTCCAACTTTATCAGCTTCAATACTAAGGTGATGAACAAATTGAAAAATATATAATTATAACATAAATATGATTTATTAATAAATGAATACTTTTACATTTGTAGATGTTGACACTGCAAAAAATATAATAATTTGTAATATTTGTATTCTTTCTATATCCCTAATAATCTTCAAAACGCTTTCTGGTTCTTTGAAGGCTCTATCCAGACTATCTTCTGGTTATTTTCTGCATCAATCCCTATTATCTCTTACAACAACAAAAAACAACATCTTGGACATAACCGCAAGACTGCAACCTCTTCACATTCTGTTGAGATTGTGAGTCAATAGCCATGTCTCACATATTGCTGTTTTGAATCATTACTATGTGGATGACAGTTGAACTGGATGATGTAACATGTATGCCATCTGCTGGAAAGAAGACGTATCGCTCTGTTGGCGTCGTTTGGACAACAAAAGCAGAGTGAAGCTCTAATACCATAAACAACCTTTGAGTACAGACACCGTCCTGCAGAGAGCACCCAGCCCAACAGCACGTTGTTGGTCTAGCGTCATTTTACAAAACGTTTGCATTAAGACATGTTTAGAGTTGGTGAGGTCCTGATAATTTATTCCGGTAAATTATTCTGACCTACTAATTGACCTGACCGAAGTTATTGAGTCTATGTAAGTTTACTGCTTGGCTCAGATCCACCAAGGTCAGCAAGATCTCACCTCTATTAACTCCTGAAGAACCAGGTTCAATTAGCTGCTGTTTCAATTCAGACAACTCTTTTTAATCTGTTTAAGGGATCCCGAAGGATTTTGGTATCAGTGAATGAGGTGTGGTCCTACCTAAATGTGAGTGTGGCAGGGTGCAGTCTTACATTTGAAGCAGGAGAGGAGAGCACAGATGTCCTTTTAGTTGTCCCAGTCCAAAAAGGTGGGATCAGTTCATTTGAAGAAAATTAGGTCCAAACTAATACAGGGTTTTTACCTTCTCTCTTTAACACATTATAATCATACGAAACATATCATGCTGGGGTTATATTTTTATCTAAAACCTTAATTCATATTTCTCCCATTAAAGTCTTCCGACGAAATTCAAAAGGAATTTCCTCGTGATGGCGTAGGTTTTCTAATTAGTTCTAAAATCCTGATACATTTTCATGTGTTCCAGGCAGGGCTAACTAAAATGTTTAGCTCTAAGATCCTGTACGTAATAATGACGTCTTCCAGGCAAGGTCTAACTAAAATTATTAGCTCTAAGATCCTGTATGTAATAATTACGTCTTCCAGGCAAGGTCTAACTAAAATGATTAGCTCTAAGATCCTGTACGTAATAATTACGTCTTCCAGGCAACCTTACCGAGAGCTATTTACCCAGCTCCTAGGGCCAGAGCCTACCGGGAGAGAGTGTACCAGGGGTTTCCCCCTCTCTCTCGCGCTCTCTCAAAAAACCAGTCTCTTTATGCTCAAAAAACCGGATCGAAACCCCAAAAAAACACCTCCTCTATTCCCAACCAACATCTTCTATTGGCTATGGCATAAGACACACCTTCCCATGTTTGTGTAAAAAAAAAAAGGACATGACCAGACATATTCTATGGCTATGACATAACTGGGGCTGCACGATTTTGGGAAAAAAAAATCTAATTGCGATTTTTCTGACAAATATTACGATTGCGATTTGCGATATTTGTTTTTAAGCTACCCAACGGAAGTTTATTGTAAAATGCGGCCATAATTCCGGCTAGGAAGGTCGTATCAACGTGCTCCCGTCTCTAGCACCCCCGCAGCCCGAGCTACGAGTGAAAGAGCTAAACTTACATGAAACTTCCGTTGGGTTGCTTTAAAGTCAAGCTTCACCCTGTAATAGAAACATGTGATGGAGCATTGCTAACCTGACTCAGATGGTTGGTTTCACCAAAGCATCTAAAGCTCCATTGGAAGCCATTTGGAAAGGGCAGGCACTTTCAGAAGCACTTGGCAGGTGATTGGATCAATCTGTCTATCACCTTCTATCATGGGCTACTTCTGATTGATTAACAATGGCTGGTACATGTGGAGCACAGCACTTCTGATTGGTGTGGATGACTGACACACAATAAAACAATTACAAAAATTGTGAAAAAATAAATAAATAAAATCGAAGGCTTTGCGATTTGATAATCGCATCATTTAAAATCGCGATTTCGATTTAAAATCGATTAATCGTTCAGCCCTAGACATAACCACCTTTTTGAGGCCTCAATGTGTTTCTCCTTAAGTCAGGAGCCCCCCTCCCTGTGAACTGCTGTCAGAGGAGAGTGAAAAAACTGCCTACTCTCTTATCAGAGAGTAAGGCATACATCATTTATAGGTCTTACACTCAACTTAACAAACCACTGGTGTTTTGTTTATGCTGTAAATATAGAAAAACCTAAAATATGAAGCATTTTCATTGTGGGTTATACAAGAATATAATTGATTATAACTAACTTTCGTTTTAAGTATTCAACATACTATGAAGCTCTCAACAGACACTAAGACTAGCTGGTCCATTGTAAAGGTCAGTCCACCTTAAATGAGCAGTGGTTCATCAACAGTCAGTGGTTAACGTATACATCAGAATGACAAAAACATGAAACATATTGTCCACAGACAGATTTCTCTCACGTGTGAACTGTCATAATTATTCATTGTCCTCTCCATCGGCTTCTGTTTCCATGTGTTCAGCTGAGCTGCTGATTGGAGGCTCTGCCTCTCCGTTATCCTGTTTGAATTTCATTAAGCTGTGAGGACTGGCGACCAACACACTTGTGCCTTCTGAAACGACCATGCCATTTAAATCTTTTGTCACAAACATTGCAGCTGTATATTTCCTCTCCTGTGTGGACTCTCATGTGTTTCTTTAAACTTCCACTCTGTGAGAAAGCTTTCTCACAAACTGAGCATTTGAATGCTTTCTCTCCTGTGTGGATTCTCATGTGTTCCTTTACAGTTTCCTTCTGTGAAAAAGCTTTCTCACAAACTGAGCATTTGAATGCTTTCTCTCCTGTGTGGACTCTCATGTGTTTCTTTAAATGTATATTCTGTGAAAAAGCTTTCTTACAGACTGAGCAGCGAAAGGGTTTCTCTCCTGTGTGGACTCTCATGTGTTTCTTTAAACTTCCACTCCATGAAAAAGCTTTCTCACAGACTGAGCAGCTGTGTGCTCCCTCTCCTGTGTGGATTCTCATGTGTGTCTTTAAATGTATATTCTGTGAAAAAGCTTTCTTACAGACTGAGCAGCGAAAAGGTTTCTCTCCTGTGTGGACTCTCATGTGTTTCTTTAAATTTCCACTCCGTGAAAAAGTTTTCTCACAGACTGAGCAGCGAAAGGGTTTCTCTCCTGTGTGGACTCTCATGTGTTGATCTAGTTTTTTTCTATATCTAAAAGCTTTCTGACAGACTAAGCAGCTGAATGGTTTCTTTTCAGCACTACGTCGGGGATCACTGACAGATTCTTGTCTATTTTTCAGTGAGTTTGAGCCTGAGGCAGGTTCTCTGGTCTCCTTCCAATCAGCACTGTCTTCAGTGTCAGATTCAGAAGAGTCATCAGTGTCTTCAGAAGAGTCTCCAGTGGGGTCCTGAGTCTTTGGTTGTAAACTGCTCTCTGGATCTGAGTTCCTGGCTGGTTCTGGTCCTCCACAGTCCTCTCCATCAGCTTCTGTTTCCATGTGATCAGTTTGTCTTTGATGAGGCTGAGAGGACTGAGGTTTCTCTTCATCATCTTCACTCTTCACAGGGTCAGGAGTGAAAGTGGACTTGGTGATATCAGCCTCCTCCGGCTCCTGAAGCTGCTCTCCCTCCTGTTCCTGCTTAATGTGTGGGGGGGGCTCTGGGTCCTCCTGGTCCAGACTGGTGCTCCCCTCCTGCTGGTCAGGGAGAGGCTCTTCTTTAACCACCACCAGCTGCTGGACATCTGCTCTGTGTATCCGAAGCTGAGGCTGTAAAACAGCGTCCAGTAGTTTCTGGAGTCTCTCGTTCTCCTCTTTGGAAAGAGACAGCTCCTCATCGAGCTCTGCTATCGTTTGTTCAAACAGAGCAAATATCTCTTCAGCAGCAGCAGTGAGTCGCTGCTTCTTCAACGACAGCAGCATCTGGACTTTACTCATGTTTCCTAGATCACCTTTCCCTGCAGACTCCGTTAAACACACCGTTTCCCTCTCCGTCAAACTCTCAATCTGACTAGTGTTGCTAACGTGTTTCCAGCTAGCATGCTAAGCTAGCTCCTATAGTCTGAGGTAAACGCTCCAGAAAAAAGAGCACAGAGTCCATTCAGAGGTTTATCCAGACACACAGATGATGGATCAGTAGAGCTGGAGCTCACACACACTTTCTCAGGAACACAGAGAGAGAGAACCGTAGCGACGAGACGCCGCATGCAGGGCTCGAGTTATGTGTGAGCCAATGGGAGCTGAGCTCCGGTCTTGCCTCTTCCCGATATATTTGATTTCTCGGGTCTTTGCAGAGGAAAACAAGACACTTCTTTGGTGTTTTAGAGCATCGTCTGCTGCGCTCTTCCGTCTGTGGGACAGAAAACAGAGTTTGAGTTAGTTAACAGAGACTTTGAAAACCCAAAACCTTTTACACCTTACTATTCTCTGTTTTTAGAAGGGCAGGGTATAGAGGATATAAAAGAGTAAATAGTATATGCCACATAAAAGGGGTATACATCATGTAAGAGTTGGAAATATTAATATTAATTTAAGATGCAACTCAGCAATGTGTAACATTTTTTAAATTGTAAATCTTTAAGAAACATGGATCCATTCGAAATATTTTACAAGCGCGTAAAGGCTTCGAACATTATGGTAGTTAATCACTATCATAACATCTGATAAATTGTTCAGGCAATTTTTGAATTCTTAAAGACCCAATAAATTATGAAGAATTG